GTGGATGAAAAAACAGCTGTTAATTTTATTTGAGATCCTTTTTACATGATGAGTTGCTTCTCTCTCCTGTGTTAAAGATTATTTCTTTATTTTTGGCTTTCAACAGATTTATTATAATCTGTCTTGGTATGGATCCCTTTGAGTCTATCATTGAGATTCTTGTATGTTTATATTCTTGTCTTTCATATTTGAGAATGCTTTGGCTAATGTTTTTTCAAATTTTTTTAACCACTTTATCTCTCTCCTCCTTCTGTAACTCACATAATGCATATTTGATATACTTGATGATGTTCTAAAGTTCCCTTAAGCCCTTTTTATTTTTCTTATGTTTTCTCTTCTGCTCCTCAGATTAAGTAACTCTAATTGCCCTACCATTAAGCTTGCTGATTCTTTTTTCTGCCTGTTCAAATTTACTGTTGAATCCCTCTACTGAATTTTTTATTTCAGCTATTGCACTTTTCACTCCAGAATTTCTATTTGGCTCTTTTTTTGTCATTCTTTCTTTTTATTGATGTTCTGTATTTGTTGAGATGTCACTTTCCTAGTGTTCTTGATTTCTTTGACCATGATTTTGTTTTGTTCATTGAAAATATTTAAGACAGTTGATTTAAAGCCTTTGTCAAGTAAGTCAAATGTCTGTGCTTCCTAATGGATGATTTCTGCTATTTTTTTCTCCCTGTGAATGTACCATGTTTTCTTGTTTCTTTGCATGCTTCATTTTTTTTTTGGTTGAAAACTGGACATTTAAAATATTAATATTATGACATGGTAACTGGGAATCAGATTCTTCCTCCTCCTCAGGGGTTGTTTGCATTGCTTGTTGTTGGTTGTACTTGTTTTTTTCTTTGGTAGGTTTGCCAAACTATTTTTAAAGAATATATTGTTTTTGTGTGTGATCTCTGAAGGCTCAGTTACTTTAGCTGTGGTCAGCTCATGGTTTGACAGAGATATCTTTAAACAATGTGTTTAAGTGTGCTTTTTCTTGATTCAGCAATTGCTTGATTGCTATAAGCCTTTGTTTATCTCCTAGAGTTTCAAGAAAGTTGATTCTGGCAATTTTTTTGCTTATTTTTTCTGTTTCTATGTGGGGCTGTGCCCTTGGAGCTCCTTACTCCACCATTTTTATTGACATAACTTCCAAATGGATTATGATTTCAATATTACCTTTCCCCATTGCGCTGCAGTGAGTGGCACTTTTTATAATTTTAGGATCAGTATATAAGTGGGTCTGTTTAGTTATTCTCTATTCAATTCCATTGGCCTATTTATCTATCCTTCAAACATACCAAAAATTGTTAATTATTATACCGTTGTAGTAATTCTTACTATCTGGTAGATTATGTCTTCCATTTTCCCCATATTTTTGGCTATATTTAATCATTTTCATGTGAATTTAAATTTTAAAGTCAGCTTATCAAGTTTTACATACATACTCACATACATACACATATTTACAAAGCCGAATTGAGTTTTGATTATGATTTTAGTCAATCTGTAGATTAAATTTGAGGAGATTTAACATATTTACAATATTACATCTTCCAATCCAAATACATATATTGTTTCTCTATTTAGTTATATATTTATTAATAATAATATGTTTTATATTTTTTCCATAAAATTTTTACATTTTGTTATTATATTAACTTTGAAGCACTTGATACTTTGTTATGGTAACTACAAGTCATACTTTGTTTACTTTCATTTTAATACTTTTTGTTGCTGCAGAAACAAAATTTATTTTTGTATATTCGTCATATACCAAGCAACCTTTAAAAACTTTTATTGAATAGTTTATCTTCAAATTTTCACCATACACAATCAATCATCTGCTAATTATATAAGTCGTGTTTCCTATTTCCCAATCCCTATTCCTGTAATTTCTTCTGATTCCCATTAGTGTGCTGTGTTGAATTTTCATTAAAAACTTAATAAAATAGTGACAGAAGGCATCTTTGCCTACTTCCCTGTTTTCACATAAAAGCTTTTAATATTTTTATATTAAGTATTACATTTACTGTAGGTTTTTTAAATTTCTATTATTTCTGATGGATATCTTCATTTAGTCAAATAAAATATTTCTATATCATGAATGAATGCTGATATTTCACAAAAACATTTCTCTGTATCAATTTAGATGTATTTTTTCTCATTTGATATGTCAATGTTAGTTCAGTATGCCAGTCCTGGACCTATTTGCTCTTAGATCCATTTCTCACCCTTTCCCTACTCCATTCTCTATTATAAATAGGCTGAACCCATAAATCTTAGGTTCTATAACATTTGTCGTCTTATTTCAGGCAAAAGGAGGTACCAACATAAGGTTACAGTCCAAGAAAATAAGAGCAATTAGAGTTTTTTTCCTCCCTCTCTGAATCAGGTGGCTTCTCCTTTAATGGCCTATATCTTCCCCATTGCTTCAGCCCTCATCATATTAGTACACCATGGCTCTAGATTCTGTAATCTTGACTCCTAGGCTCCAGTAGCAAACCCTACCTATTCTCTTTGTCCCTCCAGCCTAAAGATAAAGATAGGAGTAACATCTTCAAGTTGTCAGGTATTGGTTTTCCTGCCCCTCCTCTATGTTGCTTTTCCATCCCTTCAGTAACGCATTTACTACATTAAATTCTTTCTGGGTTAAATATATAGAAAAATTTCTGTTTCTTTGGTCAATTCTTTGTTTTTTTTTTTTTAAGACAGAGTCTCACTCTGTTGCACAGGCTAGAGTGCAGTGGCATCAGCGTAGCTCACAGCAACCTCAAACTCCTGGGCTCAAGCAATCCTCCTGCCTCAGCCTCCTGAGTAGCTGGGACTACAGGCATATGCCACCATGCCAAGATAATTTTTGTCTATATATTTTTAGTTGTCCAGTTGATTTCTTTCTATTTTTAGTAGAGACGGGGTCTCACTCTTGCTCAGGCTGGTTTCAAACTCCTGACCTTGACCGATCCTCCCACCTCGGCCTCCCAGAGTGCTAGGATTATAGGTGTGAGCCACCGCACCTGGCCTTTGGTCAATTCTTGACTGTTACATGTGGTCAATTATATTTGTTTTCTCCCTAGCATGTGACGTAGAGAGATATATTCAAGTTGTAAAAATTTTAAATATACATTTCTTTGTATTAGAAATATTCCAGTTCCATTCTTGTAGTTATGCCCTATATACACAAGTCTCTAAAATACTACCTATGAGTTAAGCCTTAATGGTATTATTTAGAGACAAATACACTATTAAATAGACCTATAACAAAATGAGAAATATTCAAAGCATCCAATAAATTCAATAAGGCAGAGAATAAATAGAATATTAAATCTTAAGAAGTAGAAGGTAATAAATAATGAAAATCAATTTAAAAATAAGGATGTAGAAAACAGTAAAGTCAACTACCCAAAGCTAGTTATTGGGAAAGAATTATAAAATTCACAATTTTTGTAAGTATTATCAATTACAAAAGAAAGAGTTCTAAATAAGTGATGTTAAATAAAATTATACAAAATATAGGAGCAGAAGAGATTTAATATAAGAGAGTACCATAAATATATTTTACCATTACCTCAGCATAACTAAATGGTGAACCAAGAAGAAAATGATCTACCTATAGAAGTATTTCAGCTAATAAATTCCAAAGGAATGACATCATTAGATAATTACCTTCCTACAACCCCTAGTGAATTAAGGGACAAAAGTGACAATTATCGATAATTGCCAACAGCACAAAGCTAGACACACAAACATTATATTCTCTTAGGGAAAGTACACAGCATCACTTCTTGAATGGTCTTGCTAATAAACAAGCAAAAACCCAATAAATCGTAATCTGATCCAACTGCTAACTCTATTGACGATTGTTGATGCTGAGTTGCAAGTATATTGGGTTGATTATACTCTTCTCTGTATTGTAGATACTTGATACTTTTTTCATGAAACATTTTTATAAATATCATGTCTTTAAATTTGAAATTCCAAGTTAAATGGACCAATTTTTTAAGAAATATAATTTTCCAATTACATTACAATTTGTGTGGACCCAATTGTTCTAAACAAGAATAGAAAATGTCAATTAAACAATTAAAACTGAAACTGTAGCCTAAGTGCCAGCCCTCCTCAAAATGTGCTAGAACCAGCTAGGTTTAGAGGATAGTTCATCCAATAGTCAGGGAAACAGTAATTGCCATGTTATATGAACTCTTCCAAGCCACAAAAAGATGGGAAGTTATAAAACTCATTTGAACATTGACTTTGATACAAAGACCAAATAAAGACACCTCAAGAAAAGATCACTTGAGCCAATCTTACTCACATAGAGGCATCTATTCTAAATAAATTCATATCATGTTCCATGTAGCAGTGAATAAGTAGGCTGTGTCTGAGAAATGCAAAGATGGTATAATATTAGAAAAAACTGTCAATTGGAATTTCTCTACATTGATAGATTAGGGGAGAAAAGGCATTTGATCATTTTCAGGAGTGCAGAAAAAGCCTTTGTAAAAAATATTTAGCACTCATTCATGGTAAAAAAAAATCTTAGCAAAATGACATTAGAAGATAATTTCCATTTCCTAAAATCTACAGCAAATGTACATAAATGTGAAATGTTAGAAGCATCCCTATTAAAATCTGGACCAAGAAAGACACAGATGCATGGTACTATGTCTACTGTTTAAAAGTGGACTCAAATATATAACCAGAGCAATAAATATATCAAAATAAATAAAAGATAGGAATATTGAAAAGACAAATAATAAATGGTGACAATATGCTCCTTTAATTAGAAAATCCACAGGAATCAGTGCAAAAAATGCTCAAATGAATAAGAAACTTCACAAAGCTGTGAAGCATTATACCAAACAGTAGCTAATAAAGACAAGGAATAGAAAAAATCCCAATCACAACAACAGCAAATATTCAAAATTTACCTAAAAGAAAACTAACAAAAATGTATACAATCTTTTTGGAAACAACTATAAAAACAGACTTAAAGAAAAGAAGTCCCAAATAAATAGATCAGCACATTACGGTTATTCATGGGGAAAATACTATTTTAAAGATGTCAAATTTCCTTAAATTATTTACAGATTTATTGCCTGCTACAGACTGAATTGTGTCCTCCTCAAAATTCATATGCTGAAGCCTTAACCCATAATGTGATTTTGTTTGGAAATAGCACAATTAGGGAGGTAGTTAAGGTTAAATTATATCATAAGGGTGAGTCCCTAATCCAAGAATACTAGTGTCCCTATAAGAAAAGGCAGAGAAATCAGAGATCTCCTTTCACATGCACACAGAGAAGAGACCATGTGAGGATAATGTGAGAATATAGCTGTCTGCAAGCCAGGCAAAGAGCCTTTACCAGAAATCAACCCTCCTGACACCTTTATCTTGGACTTTCTAGCCTCCAGAGCTATGAGAAAATAAATTTACTTTGTTTAAGTCACACAGTCTGTGTTATTTGTTACGGCAGACTGAGCAGACTAATGCACTGCCTTACATGTACCATCCAAGATGGCAACCAGAATTGGGCTGCTGTTTGCCAAAATCAACCCTGGAGAAACTATAGAAGGGAGAAGAGAGAATTACATCAACAGTACAAAAGCAACACAAATGAGAAATCCTTGAGGGACACGAAATCTGTGTTGAACTAGTACTTATGTATGGGCAGGCGGGGGCATATGCTCAAGTAGAGACAGGTCTATAGCAACAGAAGCAGATGACAGAATTGGTTGGGGAAAAGGTTTTGAAGTTTGGCCCTTGCTTATTTTCAGCGTGCCTTGGGGCAATGAATTTCTACTGCTTCACTGAAGAATCTGAGCTGGCACCTCAGACCCTATGTGCCAGTACCGTGGGATAATAACGGGACAACACAAAAGTTTAAATTGGTTGAAACAGTATGATCACAATCTTTGTTAATAACCACCTGAAACCTCTTTTTTTTTTCTGATAGGATTGGCCTTTTAAAAATAAATATTGCAATCAAATATAAGGAATGGAATGAATGAATCACACATAACAAGGGTAGGTATTCTTTTATAAAAATGCATATACACATACTTGCTAGAGATGTAAATGTATTTCTTACTATGAATGAGTGTCAAAAAGTAATGTCACTGAACTATGCTGGCCAAAGTTAAAAAACATCAAAAAATCTGAGTCTCACAAAATCATGCAGCTGAGCCTCTTCCCGTTAGAAAGTAGATATTTCAGAACAGAAGTTTCCCAAAAGTCTAAGTTTGGCTGGTGGACAGACTTTATCATCCAGTGTATTTGTTCTTTTTCAATCCACCACCTGTCTTGAGACTCTGCTTTGTGCTGCAGTTTCCCCATATGTATCTAGCCTAGGACTTTGACCCATTCTTTGCAAGGTTTGCAGTAGAGAAACAGCTCAGAGCTTTGGAGCAGTTGGTATTTCCCAGGAAGCTTTTAAAGAAGCCAAGAGGAAAACACCCTAATCTCCCTCCTCCATACCCAACCCTGAGATCTGACAGGACAACGCACCCCAGAAGCAAGGGACGCAGCCTGTGCAGAGCCCCACCCCTCCTTTCACCCCTGTGAGGCCCAGGGCAGAGCTGTCAGCATGAGATTCCCCTGTGACTTCCACCTCAAGGGTCTCAGGTCTTCAGAAGAGAGAGGTGATGTGGAGGGTCAAGGTGAGGACCCTTAGATCCAACAGTATTCCCACCCAAGGCCTCACCCCAAGAACAAATGAGGATTCAGAACCTGGCCGCGTTCAGCCTGGCTGTACCCCTCGAGGCATGGCTGTTAAACCCAACGCACCTTCAGTTCTGTCCCGTGGTATCTGGAAGTGAAGACCTATCTGAGGCTGGCATACTCAGGACAGCAGAGGGAGAAATCCCAGGTTTTATACGGAATAAAAGAGGAGCTTGAGCGAGGACTTGAGACTTTCAACCTCGTAACTGTGAGTGGCCACACAGACTTCCGCTCCTGCGGTCTGCCCCGGGAAACCCCAGGCAAAGCTGTCAAGCTAAGGAGTCCCTTCTTCCCCTCCAGGGGGGTTTCGGGAAGGTGGGGGCCTTGGTGTAATGCGGGTGGCTGCAAGTGAGTACTGAAAATTCTGATCATCTGGAACAGAGGGGCCAGTACAATAAAATCTTTTTTCCTGTTGTCGGCTGTGGGGTGGAGGCGGGGCATCAGGAGCGGGCCCCATTTTCTTCTCAGGGGTCTCAGGAAGGTATAAGGGGGTTAGCTTCAGAGCTTCAGAGGAGGAGGAGACCCAGCCTTGCCAGCAGTTGACATGATGATCCTGAATGTGAACAGAGAGGATACCACAGAGCCTAGACCTGTCAGGCCCTGCTCTCAGCCCTAACTCTCACGAGGCAGGGCTAGCAGTCTGCAGCCCAAGACTGACTTACACTTCCCTCACTGCCTTCTCGGGATGGGCTGATTAGAACAGGAGCCCTGTGAGTTTCTAGAGAAGTGCTCTCACAGACACCTGTAGAGGCAGCCTTGATTAAAACCAAGGTGGTCTCTCCCTGCTGAAAGTGTACCCACCATTTCATTCTCCCTCCTCTAGGTTCCCGCATTACCTGATAACCTGTCCACATTCCCTGACCAATATCACCATGCCACGGGGGCAGAAAAGTAAGCTCCGGGCCCGTGAGAAACGCCGCCAGGCTCGGAATGAGGCTCAGGGTCTCCAGGGTGCTCAGGCTACTGCAGCAGAGGAAGAAGGGCCCTCCACTTCCTCCTCTTCTCTTTGTGGTGGCAATACCCAGAGATCCTCTGCTGCTGGGTCATGTAGCAAATCCCAGGAGTCTGGGAGAGCCCCATCTACCACCACTACTTCTGCAGGTGTTTCACGCACAACATTTGATGAAGGTGCCCAGAGGCAAGACGAAGAAAGACCAGGCACCTCCCAGGCACCACTCACCACTGATCGTTCACCCAGATCACCTTTAGACCAAAAGGCAATTTTGTTGGTGCAGTTCCTGCTCCGCAAGTATAACATGAGGGAGTCCATAACAAAGGCAGACATGCTGAAGTATGTCATCAAAAAGTATAAGAATCACTTCAATGAGATCCTCAGGAGAGCCTCTGACCTTATGGTGCTTGCCTTTGGCATTGATGTGAAGGAAGTCGACCCAACCAGGCAATACTATGCCCTTGTCAGCAAATTGAATCCCAGTGGTGATGTAAGGCTGACTGGTGAGGAGATCATGCCCAAGACTGGCCTCCTGATGACTGTCCTGTGTGTGATCTTCATGAAGGGCAACTGTGCCTCTGAAGAAGATATCTGGGAAGTGCTTAATGTGATGGAGATATACGATGGAAAGATGCATGTTATGTATGGGGATCCCAAGAAGCTCCTCACTCAAGATTTGGTAAGGGAAAAGTACCTGGAGTACCGGCAGGTGGCCAACAGTGATCCTCCACGCTATGAATTCCTGTGGGGTCCCAGAGCCCATGCTGAAACCAGCAAAATGAAAATCCTGGAGTTTTTGGCCAAGATCCATGACACAGTCCCCAGTGCCTTTCCGTCCTGGTATGAAGAGGCTATGAGAGATGAGGAAGAGAGAGCCCGAGCCAGACTTGCAGCCCTGTTTCGTACGAGTCCCACGGCCAGTGCACATTCCAGAGTCAATTCCAGCAATTCCTCCCACCGCTAGTGAAGTTTGAGGCACTTTCCTCACTTTGTGTTTGAAGAGAGAATTCAACCTTTTCAGTAGTGGACGGATATGGTGGTGTTGGAGGGAACACAGTACATATCATACCTGTGTTCCTGTTCTACAAGAGTAACTTGGAGATTTATCTTTTCTTTTGTTGGAAGTTTTCAAATGCTATTTATTTCTTAAAAGTTTAATTATCTTTAGAATCTAAGTGTATGAATAATATTGGTTACATATAATATTTAATGTTGTTTATGAGGCTTAAGAGTTAAGAGTTTTCCTATTTTATGAAACAAATTGGGAAAACTTCCATCTTATTTAGTGATATGGAACAAAAAAACCACAGCACTAGAATAGACATTTCCTTAAAATGTGAAATAAACAGCAGTTGTAATTGAATAGTTGTAATTAAGAAATAGAGAAAAAAGTAAAAGATGGTAAATTCTTTGCTTCCTTTATTTCTTCTGTTCTTTTCTGTACAATAAAAGTTATATACATGAAATTTGCTTGGTTTATTTAAGAGAATGTAGGAAAAATTCAATAGTAATAAATTTGAGCTCTTATTCACAAGCTTCATAATTCTTCAAACATTAATTGAACACCTGCTCTTTGGAAATTTCCACAGTAGTACTGAGAAGCATAAGATAAAGAAGACTAAGCCACTGTCCACAGAATTTTAGAGTCTAGTAGCAGCTATCATATAAGGAAGATGGTGAGATATCCTATAAGACACAAAAGACAAGTGAAAAGGAGTGTGGTGGAAGGAGATGCAAAGGGGGAGGTCCAGAGGAGAGCAGTGCAGCATGATTGCCCCGAGGCAAGGCGATTTGGGCCCTTGGAAAACCACAAGTCCCTCTATGGGAGGTAATTTTAAGTTAAGCTGGGAAGTGGGTCAGAAGAAGGTGCTGGGGTGGTGACGGGCTGAACCCTTGGTTGGTGTGATTCAGAGTTGAGAGACTAAGCCTGGAATAGAGAACTGCTTTTAGCTTTTAGCAGGTCTCCACCTGGGGGAGGGATGGAAAGTGTCTTGTGCTATTGTCCCAGTGCAGGTGAACACAGTGCACAAAGCAGATATTTTATACACATCGTCTCCAAGGAATTTCTGAGAATTAAAGGTGATAGTCCCTTGAAGTGAGATGCCATGAAGTCACTGTGCCAACACTCTATGCCATGGGTTGGGGGAGTCAGAGCCCACTCCATTACAAGGGCATTTAACTAGGTTCTCTTCAGTATGATTTGGCAAACTCAAAAGGAGAGCTAGATTTTGGTAGGGGTTAAATGAACAAAAATAGGGGCGGTTTGGATCAAAGGGCAGAAGGGAGGGAGGGGAGAAATTGGTTTTTGACACACATTCTAGGAGCTTTGAGTTGCTTCCAGGTGGGGAGGATTTTCCAACATCCAAATTAAATAATATATCCTGTAAGGGAGAAGACTTACTAAGGGTTTTTATTGTTTGTCTTCCTTCCTTCCTTCCTTCCTTCCTTCCTTCCTTCCTTCCTTCCTTCCTTCCTTCCTTCTTTTCTTTTCTTTTCTTTTCTTTTCTTTCTTTTCTTCTTTTCTTTTCTTTCTTTCTTTCTTTCTTTCTTTCTTTCTTTCTTTCTTTCTTTCTTTCTTTCTTTCTTTCTTTCTGACAGGGTCTCACTCTGTTGCCTGGGTTACAGTGCCATGGCGTCAGCGTAGCTCACAGCAACCTCAAACTTCTGGGCTCAAGCGATCCTCCTGCCTCAGCCTCCTGAGTAGCTGGGACTACAGGCATGTGCCACCATGCCCAGCTATTTTTTCTATATATTTTTAGTTGTCCAATTAATTTCTTTCTATTTTTAGCAGAGATGGGGTCTCACTCTTGCTCAGGCTGGTTTTGAACTCCTGACCTTTCCCGCCTCAGCCTCCCAGAGTGCTAGTATTACATGTTCTTTCTCACTAGGGAGAATTTTTGGATAATTTGGTGTTCTATGTCCTATAACACTGTATATTCATGGGCATGTCTTGGATTAAAAAAACAAACAAACAAAACAAAAACAACAAAAATCACAGCTAAAGGGATGGTATCATCTGGGTGGAAAAAAAATCCTCATAATAAGTGCCATTCTTTAAAATCTCAGGACACACCACTCCCTGAACCAGGTGTTTTACATATACCCCACACATTCCAATAGTCCTAGGGGACAGGGCTTATCAAATCCACTTCACTAATGAAGAACTCAATATCCATAGAATTTGGTAATGTGCTTACTTCACACTAGTAAGTAACAGGATTGGGACTAGATCTCAGATCTGAATTCCTCTAGAGCTCACACTGTTCCACTTCTCCCAGCCTGAGGCAGATCTTGGGTCTATTCATTCATTGCTCTTCTCATTAGTCCACAATGACTCTCAGGAAATAAAAAGAAAGGTATTATGGACAAAGTACTAAAAGCAGGCCTAAACAAGAAAGGTGAAAATGAGAATTCAAACACAGCTTCAGAATGTCTATGGGGTTCCTTGGCCTGGGGTTCTCTTGCCTTTAGCCCCAGGATTCCTCCAGAGCTGACTCTGCTGCCCTGGTCCCTGCATTTGAGTCCTGTCCCAGCACTTTCCCACATCACGGAGCCCTTCTCCTGCGTCTTCCCTAGTGCGTCTTCCTGTGCAAACTGGAACTGACCTGCTGGCCCACTCATCACTGTGTCCTTCTCTGGAGTCTGCACCTGCTCCTGGAGCAACAGACAGCCCAGACTCACCTGCCTTCTCCCTGACATAGAGGGTTCCAGCTGCCTGGAGTTCCTGTCCCTCACTGTGGGCTCCCTTTGACAGCAATAGCTCCTTCTACATAATTGTTCACTTTGAACAGTGAAGCTTAGATCTCTTCATCCCCCTTGATGTGTACATTACACTCTCAAAGTGTTTTCAAATGCTCTGGTCAGTGGAGTCTCATTTGGCACAGAACCTGTTGGTTCGTAGTTCATAGCCTTGAAGTTAGAGAGGAGGATTTGGAAACCACCTTGATATTTGAGATCAGAACATAATGAGGTAAATGATTTGAGATTGGCCACTGAACACAACCACCAATGAGTCAGCATATCTAGGTGGTCAAAGCCTCAAGCCTCCCTCGTAAGTAGTCAATGAGGAAAGATCATAGAAATCACTGTGTAAGCAAACATCCACTGAGACTGAATCTCTAAAAACCCAGGAGTCCTCCTAGGAGATAGAAAACGATTCCATGATAGATATGCTAGCTTTGACAAAAAAGTAGAAAAAATTCAACATTATTCCACTGACCCTTGTCTCTCTGGTTACCCCTGAGGACAATTTTAGTTTTAGGTCATAGTGCAGATATTCTTGTTGCCCCCCAAATTCTGACAATATATATATATAAATCACATTTTCCCTTCCTTACTACATGTCTCCAAAATGCCTCCCTCTCCTCAGAAGTAACCACAATTAAAAATTTGTGTTATTTTAAAATTTATTCTAGGCTTTTCCTTCCTTAGATGCTCTATAAAAAATACATTGTGAGTTTTAACATACATGGATAATAGTGTACATATTGTTCTTCCTCTTGCCATTGTCAATGCATGAAATGAATGCAAGATCTTTTTGTATAAGCACATATAGGTCTGGCTTATTCTTTTAACTACTCCCTAGAATTCTAAACTGTGTTTGTGCCATAAAATTAATTTAACCAATCTCCTCCTGATGGACACACAAATTGTTTCTCATTTTTTGCTTTTATTATGATTAATAGAGCTGATGTCAACATCATTGACCATGAATTCTTACAGGAAAGACATAGCAAAGTGCAAATTGTAAAAAAAAGAATTATAAAATTTATTAGTATTTCAGAATTTCTGTTCTAATAAAGCTGTTCCAATTCATATTCTTACATATTAATGTATGTGGATAATCTACACCCTCACAGACATTTTATTTTATCAACCTTTTAAATTTCGGTCAAACTTTTAGATGAAAATATTTGGTCTCACTCTTATTTGAATTTCCCTGTTTTCTAAGTAGGTTGAGCAGAAAATTAACTTAATCCGTCATCCATAGAAAGCAAGATTTCTTCAGTGATGTCTTAAATACCAGGATTTTTCTGGCCATGCTTTAAAAGTCTGAAATGTCAATAAGATATTTCCCTTACTTTAAGGAGAAAATATTTGATCAGAATCACCAGGTGCCAGGGAATGGGTCCACACAGGACACAGCTAGCTAGTGAGGAAAATCAGCAGGACCTGCGAGTAGAGAAATCTCTACAGTCCATGAAAGGGATCACCAAGTCTAGGTGTCACAGGTCCCTGAAGGCTGGGATTCCATGGTAAGCTCTGTATCTAATTGTTATACAGTGGTTGTCAGTATTTTAGATGAGGAGCCTTTTATTCCAATTTAGGCCTTCCCTATAAATCAAATTCCTGATTTGAAGGTGGAGAAACATGGGTGAAGAAGCAAATGCAAGCCCAGTTTCCTGTCCACTGAGTGCCCCCTCATCACTCTCAGGCCAGTGGTCCCTGAAACCCACACATCTCTGGGGTTCCTCAAACACTACCAGAAAAGCTTGGTGCTAGAACCTTCCTCAGACATGGACTTCATCACATTCCTGTGCAGGCATTTATCTACATGGATTTCAATCTGCCTGATACCCTGGATTCCAGTTTGGCTGCTTGGCTTTCCAGCACTGTGGAAATGTGCCCCCATAACTCCTTCATCTCCAGCATACCTTGCAATCCTTTCCCTTGTTTCCAAATCCCTCATTGTCCAGCCCACTCTCACCTGGATGCATATGGCACACACTGTCCTCCTACTTCCTCATCTAGTCTCTATTTTCAGCCCAGGGCTGTCTACTCTCTCTTCAAGCCACCATCCTCATTAATAATTTGCACAGGCTTTACCCTCCTGCCGATCCAATCCCTGTCTCTGGTCCCTTTCTAGCCCTGTTTTAAACTCTCCTATGGGAAAGAAATCTCTGCTATTCCCATTACCTGGTAGCTTTTTAACATCTAAGAACACTGTGGGCCTTCTCTGACTTTTCATCCGTGTTTTCTTCCTTTGAAAGTCTTCTCAGTTCAGGTCCATGTGTGTAATCCCTCAACAAGTGCAGAGGGCTTGGCTGGCTTTATTTTCATCTGTTGTCCTCTGCTTCTCAACATGGCACACGATCTCCTTAACTGATGCTCACATTGCTTAATCTCAACCAAATCTACTACAGATATGCAACTAAACTTTTAGGATCAGAAGCCGAAGCAGTTCTTAGAAAGTTCCTGCTTCAAGGAACATAGAAGGATCATTTGTGTCTGGGGTTTGCAGTACCACCTCCAGTCATAGTGGGTTCAAATTTAAATCAGCAGTGTTTTCTTAAATGCCTAAGATTTGTTGGTTTGCCTAGTCACTTCAATTTTCATCTGGTATCATTTCCCTTTTGCCTGGAGAAA